GGCAAGAACACAGGGGCCCCATGATTCCCTATTGCCCGGGGGCCCCATGAGTTGTCAGTCCGCCCCTGGTACAGAGCTATTTTTGCTCATTCATTCTGCACTGCTGAGGCTGCAGAGATTGAGGGCGGTGACCTCAATCTTCTTTCTCTGTCCCAAGGGTGAAACATCAGAGGCCTGTTTAGGCCCCTGATATTTCACCAAAGCCCCTCCAACAAGAATCTGTTTTCTTTATTTTGTAAATAAATAAAAAATAAAAACAAAATTGTACAAAAAATACGTAAATACAAAAAAATGTCATTTTTTTAAAAGTAAAATAACATAAATAAAAACCTACTGACACCATTGGCAGAACTACCAGGGTCGCCATGGTCGCAATTGCGACCGGGCCCTGATGTTCCACCATCGTGGGGGGACCCCAAGATGGCAGGAAGGGGGTCTGCTGCGGTACCATAATAAAGTGTCCCATGATGGGAGTAAAAGGCCCTGGGATCAGTGGGAAGGGCCCCAGCCGTGGTGCAGGTGTTATGGTGTCTTGCACCGGAGCCCTGAAGATTCTAGTTACGCCTCCGGGGTGACTCCTGATTTTGAATATTTTTTAAAGGGTGCCACAACTGAGAAAAGGTAGAGAAAACACTGATACACACGGGCCCTGAGGCCTGTAAACTTTGAATTCACAGTGCTTCGGCCTCAGCACCTTTGTGAATGGGGCTTTGAGTAGTGAATGTATAGGGATTATTTTTGCAGAATAATGATATTATTTGTATCACTTTGGGATCATTTACACTTACTTCAACTATAACATACGTTAAAGCGCCTACAAACATGCTTTTTTGATGTGTTTTTGATGCTTCTGTGATGCTTTTTTGGAAGCTTTAATGAAGCGTGGCAAATGCCCTGTGTGTGTGTTGATTTTCGATTTGTTTTAAAGGGGCCCAGTAGAACCCCCAGCTCAGTAGTACCCCCACTCAGCAAATCCCCAGCTCATTAGTAACCCTGTTCAGCAGATCCCCAGCTCATTGGTACCCACGTTCAGTAGATCCCCAGCTTATTAGTACCCTCGTTCAGCAGATCCCCTGCTCTGTAGTGCCCCCAGCTTTGCTGATCCTCCACTTAGCAGTAATCCCCAGCTCTGCTGATCCCACACTCAGTAGTAACCCCCTGCTCTGCTGATCCTCTGGTTTGCTGCTCCTCTTCTCTCTGGTCCCCACTTACCTCCCGCACCACGTGTGACATTGCTAGTTTCTGCTGCTTTGGCCCCCCAGCTTTGCTGATCCTCTGACGCTCAGTCCTCTCTCTACGGTCCCCACTCACCTTCCGTTATAGCGATCCCATGTTGCATACCACATGTGCCATCTGCTAGTTGCTCTGCTCACCTTCCTGCTGCTCCACGCTGCACACCAGATGTGACGTCTATACCAGACACTTCTAGAATGTATACACATTAACTGGAAGTGACTGCTGATGATGTCTTTCCGGTTCTTGATAGTTTCCCAGTGCATCCTGGGACATCTCATATACCTCACCTGCAATACCTCCAAAACAAAAAGAAGCTAAAGCTGAATAAAGGCCTCTCAAAAGCTGCAGGTGCTGTAAGGCAGCTTTGCCTTAGACTTCTATGGTGGCTTTGGAGACACTTTGAAGCACCAAGAAAGTGACACGGGGTATAATTTTTGAAGCGAAGCAAAGCAACGCAACATGTGAACAGGACTCTAAGCTAGCCATTTTATTTAGTGACAGGTGCTTTGATTGGCATTCGGTGTGCTTTAAAAAAAGCCTGTCCATTGCCACATTTGGAAGCAAGTGTAAATAAGCTTTTTAAGTTACCCTATGTCACGGTTCCACCACACGCCACGCCCACAGCAACTAGCTAACCGAGGTGCGCACGTGTGGCCATGACTTGGGGTAAGAGGGAATAAGAGGGACTTAACTTCTAATATATAAAACCGGTTGTGATATACTTTCACAGCCCGCACTACCTCTTGGCCACCACTGGAGGGAGACTCCAATCCAGCCACATAACCATTTCCTGCATTTTTCTGGCATTCTACATAGGCCACAAATACGGTTTTTACATGCAGATGTAGCCCACAGATTGTCCAATCAGAAGGAAGTATTTTTCATCTCTCTGCAACTAATATTTTAGCTTTTATGAGAGATGAAATATATTCCTTTGATCTGTGTATATACTTTAAAGCTCCCAGACAGATCTGGTCCCCCACTGTGTCATGAAGCCAAAATGTCTAGGGCTCCTTTCCTTCCAGATTTCCAGGAGGTGACAAATCTTATTGGCACCCAGGTGTCACCTCCTTCCAGCTGAAGCTCTGTCCCTTTCAGATGCTAATTGGTGACCATATGCCTCTGCCTGAATTCTGAACACATCTTATATTACCATGGAATGAGCTAAAACTACAGTGTCATATTTTCTACAGGTCACATCTCAGCTACTCAAATCTTTATATTTATGTCACATCTCAGCTATTCAAATCTTACACGTACGTTACACCCTAACAGTGAGAACTATAATAATTTGTTTTTTTTTATCTCTTGTATCCAGGCCTGTGACATGGCTGTGTTTTCTGCATCATGGTTGCAGAATAAACCTAGAAATACAAAGTGATTCTTTTTTTACTCCTCCTCCTCCTGCGGTGAAAGGAAAAACAAACACAGTTTTTATGTGCTTGACACTAAAGCATCCTATTTTTAGTGATTCTTTTGTAGCGACTTCAGGACGTCTTGTCCTCTGCGGTCGGTTTTAAATCTCCCCAAAGGCTTAAAGATTGCTAGGGGATCTCTGAAACGTAAGGGAAGTCTCTGTTATGTTCAGCGTGTTGGAATTAACTCTTATACTCCCACCACTACGCCAACCAAATCGTTCTTCATGAGCTTGTTTCCTGGTGTCATCCCATTCAGATGTGAACATTGTGCCATTTAGGATTTGCCAATAGGGAGCTGTCGTTGGGTGACACCCAGGGGCATACTGACAACTCATGGGGCCCCCCCGGGCAATAGGGGATCATGGGGCCCCTGTGTCCTTGCCCAAACTCAAAAAAGCCTATGAAAAAGGTACCAAGGGCATCTCATGGGGCCCCCTACTGACCCTGGCCCCTCGTGCTGTGCCCGAGTTTCCAAATGGTCAGTCCACCCCTGGTGACGCCACAGTGCACAAAACCTATTCCACAGTGCACAAAACCTATAGAAGAGCACTCAACAAAGCCTCCGCTCCACACTAAGCTTCATCACTGGGCTGATTTTGCTACACCCCACATACACTGGAGCATGAGAGGGAGGTTGCACAACATGGAATTGCTTGACAAAAGCCTGGAATCTGTAGGAGCACCATTATAAAAACTGCTGAATCTGACTGCCATAGGTCAAAATAAACATAATACTATGAAGCTAATGGGTAGAAGGATTTTTTTTTTTGGTAATGTCAAAGTGTCTTGCTTCAAATATATGTAAACCTTAAGATGCCGGTGCCGAGGAGTGAGGATGGCTGGTGAAACCGACTGTGGTGAGCGCACCACTGAATCGAGGGACAGGTGAACTGCTGTTTTTTTATGTGTTTTACAGTTTTTGTAGCTGCTATTTTATTTATTTTTTAGCTTTGACTGGAGCTCCAGTTTGGTGCTCTATTAACCCATTCATTATGATTTTTGTTTCTAGTTTTTGTCTAGAATGGGGAAGGATTAGAGCCTGTCAGTTTATACTACTCTTTTTGGCTCCATTTAACCTAATATTTATCCGTCAAGGCATAACCACTCAGGAGCTCAGGAAAGTTTTACCCCCTTCGTGATTAGGCCTTTTTTTGCTATTTAGCACTGTGCTACTTTAACTGGTAGTTGCGTGGTCGTGCAATGCGGAACTCAAATTTATATTTTTTTGCACACAAATAGAGCTTTCTTTGGGTGGTATTTGATCACTACTGGGTTTTTTTATTTTTTTATTATATAAATGAAAAAATTGTGAAAAAAAAACTATATTTTTTACATTCTGCTGTAAAACATATTCAATAAAAAATTTAAAAAAATAAAATTTCTTAAATTTAAGCCAAAAATATATTCTGCTAAATGATGTTTTTGCTAAATAAATCCCAGTAAGTGTACAGTATATTGATTTGGTTTGCGTGAAAGTTATAGCACCTGCAAACTGGTACATATATATACTGGAATAAATTTTTTTTTTTATACTACTAATAGAGGTGATTAGCGACTCATATATATATATATATATATATATATATATATATATATATATATATATATATATATACTTTATTGCCAAAACTATTGGGACGCCTGCCTTTACACACACATGAACTTTTATGGCATCCCAGTCTTAGTTTGTAGGATTCAACATTGAGTTGGCCCAAGTGCATTTGTGAGGTCAGGCACTGATGTCCGATGAGAAGGCCTGGCTCCCAGTCTCCACTCTTATTCATCCCAAAGGTGGTCTATCGGGTTGAGGTCAGGACTCTTGGCAGGCCAGTTAAGTTCCTCCACCCCAAACTCACTCATCCATGTGTGCACTGGTGTGCAGTCATATTGGAACAGGAAGGGGCCATCCCCAAACTGTTCCCACAAAGTTGGGAGCATGAAATTGTCCAAAATGTCTTGGTATGCTGACGCCTTCACTGGCCAAGCCCAGCCCCTGAAAAACAACCCCACACCATAATCCCCCCTCCACCAAACTTTACACTTGGCACAATGCAGTCAGGCAAGTTCCGTTCTCCTGGCAACCGCCAAACTCAGACACGTCCATCGGATTGCAAGATAGAGAAGCGTGATTGGTCTAGAGTTCAGTGGCATCGTGCTTTACACCACTGCATCTGACGCTTAGCATTGCACTTGGTGATGTAAGGCTTGGATGCAGTTGCTACCCATTCCATGAAGCTCTCTAGGCACTGTTGTTGTGCTGATCTGAAGACCACATGAAGTTTGGAGATCTTTAGCTATTTACTCTGCAGACAGTCGGTGACTTCTGCCTACTGTGTGCTTCAGCATGCGCTGACCCCGCTCTGTCATGTGACGTGGCCTACCACTTGGTGGCTGAGTTGCTGTTGTTCCCAGTTGCTTCCACTTTGTTATAATACCACTAACAGTTGGCTGTGGAATATTTAGTAGCCAGGAAATGTCACGGATGGACTTATTGTACAGGTGACAACCTATCACGGGACCACGATTGGAGTCACTGAGCTCCTGAGAGCGACCCATTCTTTCACAGATGTTTGTAGAAGCAGTCTGCATGCCTGGGGGCTTGATTGTATACACCTGTGGCCATGGAGGGGATTGGAACACCTGAATCCAATGATTTGGAGGGCTAGACCAATACTTTTGGCAATATAGTGTGATATATATATATATATACAGTATAAATAAAAAAAAAAAAAATATATATATATACACAGTATAAGTAAATATATATATATATATATATAAACATTGAGCTAAGGATGGAAGAATTTGCTTGTTGTCCTCAGCTATTTGACAGCTGTATGAGGCCGTCACTTCATTATATTGTAATCGTTTGGATTCAGCCAGGACCCCCCAACAAGCAGCGATAACCAGCGCAGCCTCCTGTTATGAATGGGCCGCGTTCCCCTTAGTTGTGGATGGACTTGGCACTGTTACAGCAAACACAGCTCCCAATGACTTTTCCAGACTCAGTTGGTAAAATATACAAATGATAGCATGTTGGTATTCTTTGGGCTGGACCACTGACATATGGAAAGGGGGGATGGGGGTAGTTTGCATAATTCAGCTTAAAGTATAACTTTCCTATCCCCACAGTCATTTTAGATAAGCTATATATGTTGTTTTAAAGCAGAACTCCAGCCAAAAAAAAAACAAAAAACGTCCATTAACAGATAACATAACTAAACCAGCTTACAACATTCGTTTTCAGTCCAGAGATTTCCTCCGCAGTACTTTTCTGCTACTAGCTGCCTTTAGTTTGATGGCCAGCATCATTAAATCCATTTTTTCTGAGCCCAGGTCATCCTGGAACCACCCCAGTTTGTGATTGGACAGTGAGAGGAGAAGCACCACAGTGATGAGCTCACCTCTCTGTCACTCTGCTTTCTCCTCCTATGCACATGCTTCTTTTCAGCACATGAACTGGAGTCTTTTTATCCCCCTTTGGGAGCTTTAACCCTCTTGCTGCCAATGATGTATCCCACGCATCATGGCATTCAAAGGTTTAGAACAACAAGTTAGTCTTAAAACTGTACAGTGAGCTCCTGGGTGTAATGTAGAATTGGTACCTGGGTGGCTGTCAGGGCTCTTACACATTTCAAATTTCAGTGTTTTTGGTTTGATTATATTTTTGAATTAAATGTATTATTATTATATTATTATTTTTTATGATTATTTATTAAATTATAATTTATGATTTCGTGTTTCAAGTTTTATCCTACCCGGGATGTTTACTAGACTCTTGTTCAGACAGATCTCAGTGACTTATTCCTAAAAATTACAGGCCTACAATAAAAAAAACAACATATTTCCATGCAAAAAAATGTACCGCTTTGAGCACAGAAATATGGACATAATCAGACCGCTAGGGAGGTTAAATATAGGTTAGTCACACTTGGTTTATGCTATGTTTGTTCAGTTGCGTGTTTGTTCTGACACTCACTTTCTCACTTTCTCTGTGTAGTATATGTTAGTAATAGTAATTCTGAAATACAAATGAATGTGTTTTTCCATGTGGCCTATGCTGCCACTCTATAGAAAGTAATTATCTGTATAATGTGATTCATTTCTATTTAACACATTAAACTCAGAATGAGCAAGTGAGCAACATGTGTTTTCTGCTCTTCTTTAAATACTGATACTGCAGGCTGCATCTCTGTCATATTTCTCACTCAGATCACAGATAATCCATGTAACACGTTTCCATAGACTTTCCTTGTTGAGATTCTGCGCTATAATTTGCAATCATCACGTTTTGTTGACAGTCTCATTTGAGTTTGTGGCCTGAACCATGGTGCCCTAAGGAGAACATGTTCTGTCCCTGGCATCTGCCACTGGCTATATGGGATCCTCAAAGATAAACAGTGCTTCTGAGATAAGCATTCTTCTGACCTGCTCCAGACTTTTCTCATATCAGTTGCTGTCCCAGCTGACTGCCTGCTGGCCTATGTCAGCTCCACTATGAGACTCCATAACATTTGAGGCTCCACTGAGACCTAATTGTGTATAAATTACCAGCTTTGTATAACCTGATAGTCATTTTACAGATACTGCAACCAGGGGCGGACTGACCATTTGTCAACTCGGGCACTGCCCGAGGTCTCGGGGTCAGTAGGGGGCCCTATGAGATGCCCCTGGTACTTTTTTCATAGGCTTTTTTGAGTTTGGGCAAGGACACAGGGGCCCCATGATCCCATATTGCCCAGGGGCCCCATGAGTTGTCAGTCCGCCCCTGACTGCAACCCTTTCTATTAAAACCCTGATCTACAAAAAAGTCATATTTTAGCCATAGGTGGAAACAGATTGGTTTAGTCCCTGGCTTCTTGTATGTCTGGGCTACTCCAACAACGAGATCTCCTTGCCATATTAGTTAACTCTGTTCCTGTCCATCTGGGAGTTTTGAGTGTTCTTGGCCACTTTTGGGTCATCCAGCTGCTCTTCTTACACACTCTGTAATATAAAATACCTGTCCTGTCAGGTAGGTTGGGAAGATTAACCACATGCCGCCCAACCACTGTATAGATACGACGGCAGGGTGGCACGGCTGGGCAAAAGCACATTTTAAAACAGGTAGGGAACGCGCGTGAGGTGCGCCGCAGCCCTACCTGTCCCGCTGATCACAGCCGCGGATGTCAGTCGCCGGGTCACACCCGGTCGTTACCGGCTATGTCCCGGTGATCGGCGGCAATCGCAGACAGAGAGCACGGCTACAGTAGCTGTGCTTTCTGTCAGTTCCCTGACAGCTCCAGGACACGCTGATCGGGACAGAAGAGTTTCTCTCTCCCGATCAGTGGTGTTCCCTGCAGTACACACCCCCGCCCCCTAGTAAAACACGCCCCTCACACAGTTAACCCTTTCACTGAATAATAAACTTAACTCCTTCCTCCCCAGTGCCATTAGTACAGTGTCAGTGGTTTTTTTTTTTTGCACTGATCACTGTATTGGTGTCACTGGGGATGTCAGTGACCCCAAGTCAGTACCCCCCAATGTCAGAATGTCCTCCGCAGTCCCGCCATAAGTCGCTGATCGCCGCTATAAGTCACTGATCGCCGTGTGTGAAAAAAAGGACGTAAATTTCGTTTGGGTGAGCAGCATTGCATGACCGCGCAATTATCAGTTGAATTGGTGCAGCGCCGAGTAGCAAAAAGAGGCCTGGTCATTAAGGGGGGTAATTTCTCTGGAGGTCAAGTGGTTAAAGAAGAAGGGCCAAATCTCTTTTGGCCCCACTCCGCCTGTGGGTCACAGGAGTGCACTTAGAAAGGTACACATTTGCCAGTACACCTTGGATCTCAAAATATGGTCCAAAGAGGTTTTTTATTGCAGAAAGATCACATCACAGAGGTGTGCAATGTGGATATGTATCGAAGGGGTACCGTGTGGCTCCGAAACGTTGCACTTTCCTCTGTGGTGTGATCCTTCTGCAATAAAAACCTATATTTTGAGATCCATGGTGTGCTGGCGAATATGTACAGTATGTTTATTTGTGATGTTTGCAGTTTCCAGTTGGTAGTTGCTACGGCACTCGCTAATGAAGATCCCTGTTTCCAGGAACGTGTGCGATGGGAATACAGACAGAAGTGCACTTAGTTCTGCACTCCTGTGACACCTATTCAATAGACAACAGGCTTTTAAAGCCCGCTGTCTGCTGAAGTCACTGAGTTGGTCCAGACTCTAGATAAAGATTTCACATAAGTGAGTAAAGGCTGACCATTGTAACCACCCTGTCAGTGTTAAATGGTTGTGTCAGGTGGCATGGATGAGCACTGACAGCTGGCACTGATGGACACTGACAGGTGGCGCTGCTGGGGCTACACAGATCATTAGGGCACACTGATCATCAGTGCTCTGATGATCTGTGTACATGTCCCCTCTGAGGAATGCCGATTACCAGCTCCCCTCTCCTCTCCTCTGTCAGCGTGACAGCTCGTGGTGAGAAAAATGCCAAAAACCGGCATTTCCCTGTTTACATGTGATCAGCTCTGATTGGACACAGCTGATCACATGACCGAGCCAACATCTTCGGCTCTTTCCGTGATCTGTGAGGGACACAGCGCACCACCGATCGCCGTGCTGCGCGCCTTGCATCCGTAATTTTACTATATGGCGAGCGGAAGGTGGCTAAAAGATTTATTAGATTACCAGGAGGAAATAAAGAAAAAAAGCCTAAAAAAAACTAGTGCAACCATCACATTTAAGAATTGGTAAGCTATAATATATAAAATGTTTGTATTTGGGTATAGCAGAAATACTGCTACAGGGTGGCAGGGCTGTGCAAAATCATGTATATATATATGTGATTTCGCATTTCTGGGTAGGGGGCGCGCATGCCCTACCCGGTCCGCCATTAGCAGCCTCAGCTGTCGATCACTGGGCTCCGGCCGGTGATTCCCCACCGGCACCCGGCGATCGCTGAGTATCACTGACGGGGGAGAGGTCTGTATGTAAGCAATACAGATCTCTCACTTGTCAGCTCCTGCACACTGCTTTGTATTGCTCTGCATAGCAGAGCAATACAAAGCAATGTGCTTACACAGTTAAACACACACACAGCAAAACAGCACACAGTTAACCCTTTCATCGCCCCAGATGTTAACCCCTTCCTGCCCGGTGTCATTAGTACAGTGTCAGTGCTTTTTTTACCACTAATCACTGTGTTAGTGTCACTGGAGATGCCAGTGACAGTCAGTTCCCCCCCAGTGTCAGAATATCCATGACAGTCCCGCTATAAGTCGCCGATCACCGCCATTACTAGTATAAAAAAAAAAAATAAAATTACAGTATCTATACCACCATTTGTAGATGCTATAATTTTCACGTACACCAATTAATTTACTCATATTGGGATTTTTTTAGCAAAGACATGTCGCAGAATACATTTTGGCATAAATTTATGATAAAATTTTATTTTAATTTTTTTTTTACTGGATATGTTTTAGAGCAAAAAGTCAAAAATATTTTTTTTTTCTCAAAAGTGATTGGTCTTTTTTTGTTTATAGCACAAAAACAAATACAGAGGCGATCAAATACCAGCGAAAGAAAGCTCCAATTGTGGC